GCCCACACTCGGACCCAGGGGCCCTGCCGCTCCCCAGTTTCTTTTTCTGTGATCTCTGTCAAGGTGGAGAATATCAAGTTGTCATGTTTTATGTTACTGTACCTTAAATGATTTGAGGTTCAGTCAGGTGAGGTGGTACATGTCTGCAATCCCAGCACCCTGTGAGGCTGAGGCAGGAGGACTGCAAGTTTGAGTCCAGGCTGACCAATTTAGTGATTTAGCAAGACCTTGTCTCAAAAATAAAACACCAAAAAGGGCTGGAGATATAGTTCAGTGGGAAGGCCCTCATTTCAATGCTCAGTATTGCCAAAAACAAAAAACAAATTGAGCTCCAGTTGAAAGTAGTGTAATCTATCTTGTTTTTGTCTTACTATGTACTCAGCACCAGAGTGGCTTTTCTCTTTCATTATTGATAATTATGCTAAAAATAATACTGAGTGAAGTCTAATCAAGAAGTTCCAATCATAATGTAAACATCCCCTGCTCCATTAGTGTTCGAAATGTTTAATGCTTTGTATTTCATTAGTATTCCTGATTCTTTCTCATACAAACTCTTTATGAAATAGAAATATTGAACATAAACCATCTTGAATACTTTCTTTTTATGAGAAGTAACATTTTAAATTGCTAAATAGGCACTTTAAATTTATACAATGAGAGTTGGTAGCAAATATGAATGGGTGAATAACTAATGACACTCTGAATGGGCTTTTTGCCAAACGGTGATCAACACGTGACTCTGAGGGAAGAGCCAGGAGGGTGTGTGTTATGGTTTGTGTCTGGATGTCCCCCCAAAGCCTCACGCAGTCATGGGATAGGCTTCTAGGGTTTATGATTGATTCATGGTCCAGTGTTGGGATTTTGGGTGTGAGTGCTACACTCGCACTGGGGCAGGTAGTTTGCATACAGTGTAAGGGAGGGAAAGAGGCTGTTTGCTTCCCTCTGCCACTTTTGCTCTTGTTGCTTTTGCAGTCTTCCTTCCCCATGAACTGTTGCCCTCTGCCATTTGCCACTCTGCCTTGAAGCCAGCTGATTATAGACTGAAACTTCCACATATTGCAGGCTAAATAAACCTTTCATTCCTTAATTCCGGGCCTCAGGTATTTCATCTCAGCAACGAGAGAAAAGTAACCAAGACAGTATGGAATGAGCTCTTGCCTCGTATCTGGTCAGAGCTGCATTCAAGTCTTAACCCCTCCCTTTGCTAGCTCTGTGATCTCAGGCAAAGCACTGAGTTGTTTGACTTACAGTTTCTTTAGCTGTAAAACGGCCAGAAGACCTGGAGCACACAAAGACAGACTGATGGCTGCTAGCAGAGGGTAGCTGGTTTGGGAGTAAATATCTTCAATTAGGGGGGTGGTTCCAGCCACTGGTTTCCTGTCTATACCTGAACAGTCTTAAAGTCTTATGCAGATCGTCTCACATGAACAATGGCCCCAATGAAGCTACAGATTTTAGTTAAAAATAATGTGCCAATAATGGCCCATGAAGAATAACAAATATACCATATTAATATTAATAATAGGAGAAATTAGGATGAGGTGAGTATATGGACACTTTCAGTAGTTCTTTTCCAGTTTTTCTGTAACGAGAAATTGTTAAAGGAAAGAACCAGAAAAAAGATTCTATTACTTTTTTTTTTTTTTTTAAAAAAAGCTCTGTTGTACTTTCTGCAATTTAATTTTTTTTTTTTTTACTTTTCCTTTTGGATTTCTATAATCACAGCTGCCCACACTGGTCCCACACGTAGACTGACCTACCCAGGGAAGACGCAGCAGGGCAGGAGTGTAATTCTGAGTTGCTGGTTGGTTCCCAGCAATGTGTCTCCAATCCATACTCCCCTGGTGGTGGAGTATATGTGCACAGTCTCCACTCTTAAGGCGTGGAGCTCAAGATTGAGGGGCTCCGAGCATAGGCTCCAGAGGAAGACACACCTCAGATCACCACTGCCTTGTCTGTAATGCAGGGAGATCTGAGGCCTCATCATCTTATGTGAATATGGGATGCTCCTCTAGAGCCTCTTATGAGAATGAAAGAGAACAGTCTGTGAAAGTGCTTGGCGCGGTATCTGGTGCATACTAAGTGATCCGTTCAGTTATGTATGCTGCACAATAAATCAAAATGTAGTGGCCTAAAACACTGATTTATTATTTCTCATGATTCTGAGGCTTGGAAACTTGGGCAGAGCTCAGGTGAGCTGCTTTCTGCACTGCTAGCTGGGGTCGCTCTCTGGCTACGTCCAGCTGGTGGCTGAGCTGTGCTGGGAGGGCCGAGAGGCTTTTACTCAGGAGCTGTGCCTCCACGTGCTCCCACATGGCTCTTCTCCCCACGGGGCTGTCCTGGGCTTCCTCATGGCATGGAGGCCTCCTTGTAGCAGGATTTCTGAAGTGAACACTGGTTTCTGACAGCAGAAGGGATTGGTCAGTCTCTTAAAGGCTTTGCCTGAATCTGGCCGAGGGCCCCTCTATCACAGCCCATTGCCCAAAACAAATCAGGAAAGAGCCCTGACTGAGGGGGAAGATCAGATTGTGCTACTGGAGGAAAGGAATTACGTCTTCGGAGGTGATCACAGCGCTCAAGGTACTATTTCTCTGTACTTTGGTTTGCCATCTCGCCTAACAGAGTGAGGTATTCTGGCTGCTGTGGGCACTGAAACATAGGTGTAGCCCAGGGGCCCTCTTATTTTAAAGTAAAAAAAGTTTCAGTATTCGCACATTTGTAGTATTGCAGCTCTGTAAACAATGTGCACTCACTTAAGCATATCATCCAGTTTGTATTTTATCTCATATCATGAGATTGAAACTTACATTTTAAAAAATCACTAAAACATAGACTATTTAAATATGTCTATGTTTCCCCTTGTATTAATGGCATAGAAAAAAGAAAACAAATCTTTGAAAATCACTAACACAGACTCTTGTACATGTGCTGCTGAAGCAAGCACAAAACAGACTTCTGTATTGAGTTTTCGTTTGTTTTTCCTTCGGCCTGGAATGTCTTTGCTTTTTTGGTACTGGGAATTGAACTCAGGACCTTGCACAAGCGAGGCAGGCGCTGTGCCACTGAGCTATATCCCAGGCCCAGAATGTTTTTCTTAGCTCCCCTGTTTCCTCTTCTGTGGGCAAAGGGACACTTAGCTTTCAAGACAGCTCACTCGTCACTTCTCTATGAAGCTCCTGTGGACACACCAGTTGCCATGTGAACTGGATTGCTCCTTTTCCTGAGGTCTTGGTGCACCCTGTACACTTCCATCTCGGTAACCACAGCTTTTATTGCTGTGTGGCTGTGGCATAAGGAAACTAATGCCCAAATAGGTACCATATGCTACACAAAGGAAGAAAAGAGAGCCATTAGTCTTGTTCAGTTTACTGGCTATTGGAATAATGTGAACCATTAGTCTTGTTCAGTTTGGCTTGTTCTGGCTACTGGAAGAGAAAGTCAGAAAATATGTATTTAAAATAAAATCTTAATTTCAGGGCTAGAAATCTGTACAGGTTATTACAGAGCCACAAATAAGATATATGATGTACTTCAACCATCTTGGCAGTTTTTTTTTTTTTTTTAGCAAGGGGTTTTTGAGTGGAGCTTTTTCTTGTTATAATGGTAGGCTTAGGAATGGACAGTGTGATGAGGTCACACACCCCAACCTCAGTACACGTTATTGTGGTCCTGAAGCCGTAAGGACCCCAAACACAACTGGTGTTGTCTCAGAGAATTAAAGAGAGCTGTGGTCCATGTCTTCTTAGAAGAAGTGAAGTTTTTCTAAGCATGGGGCTTCCTCATGATGTTACAAAGTTGGGAGAACTCTAGTTAGGGCCAGGGCTTCTAAGAAATTTTGCAAGTTGCACAGAAGTACTATACATTGTTTTACACTGTTCAGTTTCTTTACAGGCCAGAGATATATGTTTATACTTTGAACAGAAAGACAAATACAAAAAACTTTAAGTAAAAATTACTCTCAAACTCACTTTTATCGGATGGACAGAAATCTATTGAGGCACAACAGACTTTTGATGTGTCAATATTAGTCCCGGCTGGTCACAGAATGCGTTTAAAGAGGAACAAGGATCAACAATAAGCACTCCTATGCCCTGGCATCAGTGTTCCTGCTTGGGATGGTCTCTGCTCACTTACTGTGCACAGAAATCCCGTTTACCTGTTTTAAGTTTACCTCAGCTGCTGTCTGGTCTAACAAAGCTTTCTGGATCTTTCTCATCAGTATGAATCACATCTTTCTTAGATGTAGTGGTAACTGCATTTCTATTTGACATATTTATATCACTTGCATTGCAGTTAATTATTTACTCTCCCCCTTCTTACCCAGAGAACTGTAAAGCCCTGGAGGGCAGAAACTGTTCCTGCTGGAGTCTTCCAAAGAGCCAGTGCAGAGGAATGGTCTGGAAGGAACACAGCCATTCCTTGTTGAAGTTCCCGAGTTGCAATCTGGATAGAAAGTACCTGGCGCTCGAAGGTTTAGCTCTACCCTTGATGGGTCCTTGATCACGCAGTGCACGCAGGTGGTGGGAGGTGAGACTTGTTTGTGATGATCTAGGGTCCAAACTAACCAATGCACTGCGGACACTTCTGGATGAAGTAGCCAAATGTGGAGAAGAGATTGGAAAGAGAGGGTTCAGTAGTACACAGCGCTGGGGGGCAAGCTCTCTATTCCTCTGACATCTAGATTAGCTTGTCCCTTTTAGGTATTTCTATTTATACTCTTTTGGAATCAAATGCTAATTAATTATATAGGTCTCAGTTTAAGAAATTGCTGTAATGATGTGACTCGACCTTAGTTATGCAAACAGTGAAAATGAGCAATATGAGGATAATTAATGGATTAAATAAAATATTAGGTGAAAAGGATTAAAATTATATAGAGGGCTATGTGAAATAGTTATGTTCATAATAGAGAGCATGAATATTTTTAGATTCTCCCAATTTAGACTTAGATATGCTTGTTCTATTTTGTAAATCAAAGAAATGTCCTATATCACGGATTGATGTGTTCAGGTTTTACGGTGACAGACACCTTATAATAACCAGAAATAGAAATTCCATCTTTGATGGTAATATAGTACAGGGGCCTGAGGAGAGAAGGTCTTAAGGTGCTGTTAATTAGCAGCAATCTGCAGCACAAAGTCTCAAAGCAATTAAAAATGTTAAGTGAATATTTGCATGCAGAGTGGAACGGCTCATATGCGGGCTGGGCAGGGCACCCTAGGAATTGCTTACAGTCCTTACATTAAACAAATTGTGTTGACAAATCCAAGAAGACCAAATATGGGCCAACATATGTTTATCTAGTAGGCAACTGCATTTTTGAATGCAATGTATTGGTCATTGTATACAAAATTGTCTCAGCTGCAAAATACATATAAACTATTTAATCTTTCATTTTTTTGTAAATGTGGTACTTCATTTATTTACAGAAAATTCAGTTTGTTTGCTGTGGCAATTTTGTTGTTCTCTGGTTCGGTAAACATCTGGAGGTTCCTGTGATAATTTAAGTGCCATTGATGGTCACACAATGGCTACAGTGTCACATTTATGCTCATCTGGGACCGAAGGGAATGACTATTGCTTTTGAGCTCAGAGTGGCAAAATGACTTATTATTGAGATACTCCATCAGCCTTTGTGTTGGTTTCATCAGTTAAGGGTGTTCAATGAACTTGTGAGCACACTTGTAAAAGAAAATCAAAGCCAATTCAACGTTGCAAACAAGTTTTCGAGTAAGGAAAAAGAAATGAAATGTTCCTTTTAGGAGAATGTGTGTGGCAAGTGGTTAAGACTTTTGGTAGTGCTGACTAGTTTTAACAGCTATGGCTTCTGGTAGACTTCTGTCAATCTCAGGCACAGTCAGCTACCAATAAGGGATGGAATATCCACTACAGAAGTCCCACAAGGCAGTGAACGAAGAACCAATGTAGTCCCGCAGACTAGCATGGTCCTCTGAATGGTGTGGCCAGCTTTAGGCTCATTGTGTTATGGGGAAAGAGAAATCAACAAGTGCTTGAAAACTGAGGGTTATCTTCAAAGCTGAAGTTGGCTAGTAGTTTTCACCTATTTTGCTAAAATTTTCAGAAGGTGGTGGAATTAACTGACTTGAATTTTTTCCCTCCTCTTTCAGCTCCAGTACACTTCCCAGAAAAGTCTGTGGCTTTTCACTTTATTTTATTTATTTTTCTGTTTTTTCACTAGTACCTTTATTTTTTAAATTTAATTAAGTTTATTGTACGATTTAGGTATATACAATGATCATATTCATCATAGGGAAATGACCTGACATTTTCAGGAAGTAAGGGTGCTAAGCAGGCAGCAGAAGAGAGGAGCACAGAACTTAAATATTCTCAAGCTCTTCATCTCTGTCCTTATTTCAGGGATGAAGCATTCCTAAGGATGGTAGGAGTTAGGAGAAACAGGCTGGTCAAACGGCTAACAGACATTTTGGTGTATGCACACAGCATATAAAAAGTAAACTGTATTTAAGTCAGGAATCGACCTTATGCAAATATGTCCTGTACATATGTGGCATAAAGGAGCGTAGGGGTTACTGAATAGGCCCTTCAGCGGGCCTTAGAACGGGGAGGGGGCTGAAGTCACTAACACTGGGCCAGGAAGCATGTTTATAAGAAATAACAGAGTGACCTCTGTGGATCTGGAAAGTTCCTGATTGTTACACAATGTGTGTGTTTCATTATTTACATGATTTTACTAGGCGATTGGGAGCTGTGTACACAGCAAGGTGAGCCCGTAGCAGCACCCCAGACTCTGAAACTAGAACCAAACACCATTTCCTTAATACTTTTCATTACTTTTGCTCTTGAAATAATACTTTATGCAAAAATTTTCCAAAATGTCTTCTTCTCTATGTCAGTGCAATTTATTTTCCTTAAATGTTTTTGGGAATTACAGTACAAGTTTCTTGGAAAAATTTTCATGCTCCTTTCTACCGTGCTGTAAGGACGAAATACAAAGTAAATAGTGAATAAAGCAAAGTAAATACTGCTTGGAAAATCCTTAATTTTGTTACAGGATCTTCTCGCACCTTCTCCCCTTTTTCTGCGACACACTGAAGCCCATCTTTCTGTCTGCAACTTTTTTGGGCTATTTCCTGGAGTTAGGGTGAAAAGAAATAAGGGACAAGGGTCCCTGGCCTAGGCGGGGTTGCGGGGCCTGGGGGCTGACCTTCGGCGACTCTGCGGGTTCTGGAAGGGAGGCGCGGGCCCGGGCAGGAGCAGCGGGAGTTGGAGGTTGCCAGGGCGGCGGGGCGACCTCGCGGGGGGCCGCGGGTACCTGCGCCGCCCCGCTTCGGCTGCCGGCTCTCGCGGCGGCCCCGAGGCCCGTTTCCGAGGTGCTCTCCCGGCGCCGG